TTTCAATTTCCCAAAAATAGATTGGGAGGTTGAGAGGGCGCCAACAAGATCCCCAGAGAGCGCATTCTTAGAACGGGTGCACTCGAGGGCCCTACAACATGTCAGTGCACTAGATACAGAGATGGAGATAGGTCATCTTTACTGTACCTAATTATTACAACGAGGGAGAGGGATTTGTCAAACCTTACCCTCCATCCACCTCTGGATAAAAGCGACCACGTTGTGATCACCACAGAAATAAGTCTGATACACCGCAGGGGCACCGAAAGATGTCCAGAAACTACTTGGCGATAGACGTGACAGGTAAAAAGGCCAGGGCTGCAGAGCTGGTGTGGCCCCCTGGTCACGGAAGCGACTCTATAGACCAGCACTGGCGCCAGATTAAGGCCAATATTTTGCTTCTGCAGGATGAATTTGCTCTCCTGAAACCCAGGGCAGCGAAGAACAAACCACCTTGGTGGAGCCCGGCGATTTAGAGAGCGATACAGCATAGAAATAGGAGCTGGCACGCCTATAGGTCAACGGGCAGCCCCAGGGTTAATCAGCTCATTACAACGCAACCTGACCTCCACGCCGCTGGATCGAGTATCCCCGAATTAATCGTGGGAAAGGACGAGGTGCGTAGTACTCTTAGTAAGCTCAACGCCACCAAATCAGCCGGACCAGATGGCATCCACTCATTCTTAGTTAGACACAGCTGAGGTTATAGGGGCCCCTCTGCCACCTGTACAACAGAACCCTAGAGTAAAGTAGGATACCACAGGACTGGAAAACGGCAACTGTGGTCAACGTGCTCAAGGGAGGGCCGAGACAAAAGATGGACAACTATTGTCCAGTTAGTCTCAGAAGTATCTTGTGCAAAGCGCTGGAGCCAATTATCAGAATTCACCTGTGCGAATACCTCACTCAGCACCGCTTGCTGATAGTATAAAGCCGTTGTTCGACCGCATTTAGAGTATTGTATACAAGCCTGGGCTCCCTTCTTCAAAATGGACGCCGCTTGTCTCGAAATGATCTAAAGATTAGCCACAAGGATGATCGAAGGACAACGAGGGAAGTCGTATAAGCACAGACTGCAGGATCTTGGGCTATTCCCCTTAGAAAGACGAACACTCCGAGGTGACTTGATTGAGACATTCAAAATTATGAAGGGCCTATCAGGGACGGATCAAGCGGTGGTCTTCGAGAGAATGCAAAGCAATGCTAGGGGGCATATGTACAAGCTGAAGAAATTGCGCACGAGACTAGCGGTGCGTTCGAACTTTTTCAGCAACAGGGTAGTCAACGTGTAGAATAAGTTGCCGCAGGAGCTGGTAGAGCTAGGGAGGGGTAGTCAACGTGTGGAATAAGTTGCCGCAGGAGCTGGTAGAGCTAGGGAGCGTATATTGTGTGGAATAAGTTGCCGCAGGAGCTAATAGAGCTAGGGAGCATATATACTTTCAAGAAGGATTGAAATAAGTTGCCGCCGGAGCTGGTAGAGCTAGGGAGCGTATATACTTTCAAGAAGGAGAAATAAGTTACCACAGGAGCTGGTAAAGCTAGGGACCGTATATGCTTTCAAGGAGCTCGATAAGCGCCGGTTGACTTTATTTCCCGAAATAGACGCATAGGTTATGGCCTGGAAACAAGGGTGGGTTTTTCGTTTACTAACCACCCCCATCCGGGGAACGCTTCCAAATGTGAGGTCTCTCGCCTGAACAAGGAGGGAAGATATTTTTTCCTTTCTCTTCCCTTGCAGAGAACTGGACTGAAACGTGGAAAAAACATGTAGGACTGTAATATAGAACGCTTGCAGAGTTAGGGGCTGGAATGTGGCTTACTACCGGAGGAAATCTGGACGCTCGATTGGCCGTGGCCATCTCCTGTCCTGTGCAAACAGACTGACTGACAAACTGAACTGAACTGAGCTGAACTGACCTTGATAACGCGCACATTTTGTGAACGAATTTATGTTAACGCTCCCCGGGGTCCTGGACTTCTAATGTTATTACCATAATTTCTCGTTGCGATGACTTCCAACACTGAGAATAACAAACTGGAAACTATGCTTGTGCACAAAGCTACCCCGGAATACTTACAGGATCTTCTTAAAGACAAGAAACAGCTACAGAATTTCCCGAATATTTTTCTACACTTGGAAATAATTCTAGAGAAAGGTAGGTTGACAAAGTTACTTTATATACCATTAGATTACTTTTGCTATTCTGCATTTCCAGCTTGGACAGAGGTAATGATATTTGCTACTAACTTGCTGGAAATATTACCTAGCTTTTGATTCTAATGCATTGTGGCAAACTAACCAAAATGTAGTTCAGTTCAACTGAGATTCTTTATTCATTGCTGCTAATAAATAAGAATTTACACGGATTATTTTATAATGACCTGATCTCAACAGATTCAGAAGTTTCATTGCACGCTAGCTTTTTCGCGTAACGTACATAAACGATATTGTAACCGTTCTTGTCTTCGACTAATAAGTGTGTTGCACTTGTTTTGAATGCGAGTTTTTGTACTTTGCTTACCACTTGAAAGTGGCTGCTCAAACATCGTGATAGTGAACTAATCAATGTTCGCATATCTTATTGTTCCTTTCCTGGTTCATAACGCCGCTATATTGGGATTCGAGGAAGCCGTTGCAGTAGAGCATCTTTCTCACCTCTCATTAGAATTACTTTTGATTCACCTCACCCTTTTTAAACATTTTAGAGTGTGATGGTCTTACTCAATATCTCGCTTTTCAGAAATTACTCGAGTTAGAGAGAAGTTATTTCATCTGAATGAGTCTTACAAGAAAACAGAAAACGAGCTTCCAGAGCCCACCGGTACCATCACAACACTACAGGAGAAAGTGTTTGTACCTGTAAAAGAGAATCCTAATGTAAGTTATGAAGTACTTTTCAAATTTTTATTTTTAGTACAATTTTGTTGGAAGGTTACTTGGGCCAAGAGGGCTGACCGCTAAGCAGTTAGAACAAGACTTGGAATGCAAGATAATGGTCCGTGGAAGAGGCTCTTTACGAGACAAAAAGAAGGTATTTTTCACTTTTTCACTTTCTTTTTATACCATACTTTTTTAAACTACTGTACCATAAGTGAAGCTTTTTGAAGTATGGAACAAATGTGTGCATCCAGCCCAGAAGAAAAATTCTCAAACCAAGATAAGTTGTAAAACAAAAGATATGAGAAAACTGAACATGAATATTTACATTTCATAACATATGGAATAGGTACAGCATACAAAAAGATCTATGGAACACTATTTTGATAAGTGAATTCCAGTAACACCGTACAAAATATGAATCGTTTGCTGTCACTCTCTTCGGACCTTCTCCAATAAACAGCCATTAGTTAAATTACTGGATTAAAAGTATTAGAAAAGATATTAGGAGTTTTTGTTAGGACAGGCGAAAAACACTTAAAGGGTGATCTCTGTGTGTAGACCATAAAGATTTGATTTCTTTTCCCGTCCCTAATAATAGGCCTAATCCCTATCCATCTTACACATTCCTACTTACCTTGTATGCATTGTTTTAGGCAGCTATAAGTAAAGTTCGCTTCACTGTATTACGCTGCAAAATGATGAATGATGGTGAGGACTCAAGGGTCTGTTGATGTGTTCTCACATCAAGGATGATTGTCTACCGCTAAAAACGTCATAATAAGTTATTGCGCGCTACAAGCTCTCTATTCACAAGCAGGACTGTGCTGACAGTGGTAATGAAAGACAGATATTACAGTTCTATGATGCGGTGGCCCAGAAGGCACTCATTTGAAAGCAATACTTTTTGGTGGACACGAAATATGGGGAAGTTGGAGAGAAAGGGAAAGAAAAGCAATTTGTGCTTTATTACGTATAAACCCATTTGTAAGTCTAGTAGAGAGTATTACAAGCCTCATTAATTTCCAATTATGCTACACTAAAGCGCAAAAACAATAGTCCCATTAAAATGTAAACCCACTGATTACTTACTTTAGTTGGAAGATAAATACAAAAGATTTTTAACCAAATAAATTTATAAAGCAAATTTCACATTTGAAGCATCAAGGAGGTTATATTGGAAAATAAATAACTAATTCAGAATAATTTTATTGTTTATAAGGCAAATGTAAAGGAAACAGGTCATTTCCTCCTAATTTAAAGGGAGACAGGTTTTAATTTGAATGCCTCCTTAGAATAAACTCAATACTGGACAAGAGTCAACTATAGTACTGATAAAAATACATTTTATACTATAGTAATCAGCTGGCATGAATGCAGTTTCATAAACCTATGTCTTTTGACGTAAACATTTTGAAAAAATAGCAGATTGGTTGCCAAAAAAGAGTTTTGAATACATATATATTAATTTCTCCAGATAATCTGTCGTTGTATATCTGAATTCAATGACGTATAATAGTAAACCCTAATGAAATAAGCCTTTATTTTAATGAATAGATAGTAATCAGAAAACTTGATTTACATCAAATAGCCTCATCATATAAGGTGAACATAAAATGTTTTATTTCAATTTATTAAATCGCAAGCAATTTTGTGAGTGCAACCAATACCGCTAAAGTAAGATCTTAGCATGTTGAAATACATGATCAGTGAGGGAACGGGGGTCATTTATCTTAAAGACAGAGAATGAAATCAAATGAATAGATCGATATCTTTACCAATTTTGTTGGATAGTTTTTCAGTTTTACAGGTCCATTTACATCATTTAAGGAATCACAACAGGTTCAATACATAGATTGTCAGCAAAGGCACAATCTTTAACAAGTGAAAAATTGTAATTCAAGACCGATTATTAGCTTTACCGACTGAATCATTCAGTTTTAGATGCCTGGAAGGATAACGTGTGAGAAACCTATAGCAAACAGTAGTTTCATCATAAAAGAATTGGTAACTGAACCTACTTACAAACTGTTAAAGATATATGAATTGGAAGAGTATTGTCGGACAAAATCTTTATTAAAGTCTGCGCCAGGTAGAACATTTATCAGCAACCAATTGAAGAAGATTTAAATAGGATGTACCAATTGTGCAACCCATAACTTAGGTAAGCATGCGTGAAACGGAATGGGCTTTGCTTCTATGCTAATAAAAATAATTGAGGAGCCATGGGGGAAGTTATTTCTAAGAATAACGCAAAATAACAGTTGAATGGTCATAAAATACTCCCATTGATGCATAAGAAACAAGCAGAAAACCGAAGAAATGTCCTTTTGCTATATTGCTTTAGATAGTTACATATATAGTTCAATTATTCGATAGATTATCATAAGACCTAAGCTGGTAGTGATTGATTATGTGTGTGTAAATTGTTCAGTTAACAATAAGTTATGGGATCACGATAAATGGATAGGGAAAGATACTATAAAAATGTGTGAAGTGGACACAGTGTGAAAGGTGTTAGTCAAGAACGAATAAAACAGGTATACAGATGTGCGAAAAAGACAGTAAATGAGAAAAGGGGAGAATCAAAAAGGTGTCACCTAGGAATATAGGGCAATCACCTCAATGATGATGGCCACAGCGGTGCTTAAACCAGATTACGTCGTTTGCACAACCCCAGCTTCATAATCTTAACTGCTATGGATTTCGTTATTGTCAGAGTCCTTTTTAAATCCTTTGGAGTGGTTCTTAGGTTCTGTAAAGATGCTTGCAAATGATGTTACTGGATCATTCTTGTGTCTACTGTCCAGCAAATGTTGCAGGATCGAGCTGTTTCAGCTTGCCACTTTACCTTTCGAATAGCAGCCGGACAATGTTTAGGTATTTTCTTTGGCAGACGCATTGTCGCGCTTACTACGGCGAGCACTATAAGTGCACGTAAACTGACATATGATAAAGTATTGGGACAGCTAAATGCTATGAAACTTCAAAAGACCTCAAAACAACGAAAAAACGCCGAATCTTTGAAAGGTTCTTATTATCCATGTGTAAATGTTATATCAAAAATGGATAATTTGAATTCCAAAGTGTGCATAGGAAGAAAAGTTTAATCAGAAATATAAAGTTACGTCTAGGCAAATATAACTGTTTAGCAAAGGAGAAGGTTGTATCAGAAAAATTAGAGGTATTATCAGGCAAGTGATGGCTGAAAGAGAAATTATGGGATTCTAAATTGGAAACAAAACGAAGTGTTTTTAGTGCTCGGTATTAAAAGGTTCATCATTAGCGTAAGCAATCATGATTTCCTCATGATACATCATGAGGAAATAACCACGACAAAGAACTGCATCCAAAAATACTTCAGAATTTGTTGTTGGTAAATCACTTGTATGATTCGTAGATGTAGTTTATTCAGTTTTGCCAGGAAATGAATGGTTGAGTACAGAAAATAGTCAACTTAAAACTCAAAAAATGCAACAAGGAATTAATTGTTTTTTGACACAGTCTTATCTATATGGGCAAGGAAATATACATGAAAGATATGCCATTTTAGTTCATAAACTGTAATCAAGAGTTATCAGGGTGGACTTTGATACCAATGAGCAATAAGCAAAGTTTCTTACCTGAAGGCTTTATTCGGCAACTAATAACACAAAATGAAAGCATTTTTAATGCTGGAAAATAAGAAGTGAGTTAAATCAAACAAAATTTTAAATTTTCGGTACAGGCTTGATGAAAACAGGTCTTAAAACAATTGGTAATCTTTTATCTAGCAATAACGGTGACAAACAGCTGTTAGTTGTGGTGGTTATTGATTTCGTACTATGTGAGAACATAAAAGTAAATTCCGTCAATCTTAGAAGCTTTTGTTTTACGATACACCAGATGGTAGAGCACATGATTTGTATGGTTCTGTAGCAGTTAATGACAGCTGAATGATGAGATGGTTAAGTTGTATTTTTCCGTAAAGGGAGGTGTAGAAAACATTTGATTTAACGCAGTTGCTATCGGTTGGAACTCATGCAGACTGAAGCTCATACCAAAGGATGTTAAAAGCATTAACAATTACACACAGCTATGATTGACGACTAAATAGAGATTTCTCAATAAGTTGCCTTTATAGGGAAAAAATACCATTCAGAAGGCTAATAAAAGAAATTTTATACAAGCTTATGTAAATGGGATAACAGATAAATGTCCAGAATGTGTGTATCCATATCCCAGCGAATGCTGTTTCAATGCGAGCCAGTGCTTACTATCCGAGATGGCCTTTATTTACCAACGTCAACGAGACTGACACCTAGTGCTAATACATTAAACGTTATTAACCAAAAATGAGTTTAACATATTTTCCGAACAAATTCAGTGTTTTGGGCCGTCTTTGGGTAGGCATTCAAGCCTAACTAGCTTACAACGTAAAACATTGCACTGTTGTTCCAATAAAGAATCACAGCTTTTCATCTTCAACGTAAAATACTGCAAACTCTAAGTCATATTTATTAAAAGGATAACCACTAGGAAAAACAGTTGGAACATCGGAGTTGCTTTCCTCCCATACTTCTATGGGTAAAATTGTATCACTGAAGCAAGCCCTGTTATCATTAGGAACAATATTCAAGTTAAAGTTTTGATTGATCAAAGATGCATAACAAATATGTAACCAAATTTAAATTAGGCCAACAATACTGCAGGTAATTACAAAAATGGCCAGAGAGTCTATTTTCTTCACGGGTCATCAGCAGTTGGTTGGATATGATTTGTTCTTATTGTCATAATTGTCATTAGGTGGGTAAATATGGTTTGTTTTGTCTAAATTTTGTTAAAGCCTACATGAAATTAATAGATCCTGTTGTTAGAATTTAACGCTGAATAATAGGAGATTCTAAAATCACCCAGCTACAAGTAACGAGGGTAATAACATTCATTCCTGGAAATTTTGTAACATGCTATATATATCGAGATGTGGCTACCATGATTATGGAACACACAGCAACTAAGGTTTTCATCACTCCTGATTGTTAATGTTCTACCGAGGGCTTGTATACCAAATCCCCAAAATGTAGGTCGGATAATTTTACTGGCTTTAAATTCGGTCTTATGTTAATGCTAGTTTTTTCCTTTGAAACCGAAGGAAACCGAATTCAGTCATAATCCAACACCTATGCAATGGCTCAGTTAAAATAATTCTTCTACGTTGACTACAAAGCATGGCTTGAACGCGTCAAGTGGAAAAATAGTTTTTATTTCTGCCGTAGTCTGTTGATGAATCCGCAGTAGGAAAGGGTATTTTCTTTTGCGATTAAGTATGATCAACGAACTCCATGAGTACCCATGTGATAACGAAAAACAACGAAACAATTGTCGTCACATATCAATCATTGGTGTGACCTAGTAGCTCACCTGGTAGAGCGTGAGCGTACAAAGTATAGGCGGCGTCCATGCGTAGGTTCGAATCCCAACGAGGCTACTAAACTTTTCACAATCGATATAAAAAAGTCTGCCAAAACAACCATTTGCTTAATCATGAATAACGTCATCTAATCCTTCGAGCCCAATGAAAAAATGTTTGATGAGTCAGTGTGCTATTAGCACAGACACGCGCGTTTTAAGTTTAGACTGAACGAGAACAGTTCAACACATTCCTTATGTTGCCACAAAACTGGACCGAACCATACACGAAAATCATAAGAGAATGATTTCAAGAAATAATCTTATATTTCTTCAACCAGATGGAAACTCGCTTGGTCGGAGTTTTCAAACGTCATAAGTCATCGCCATTTTAATGAGGATAGATTCGTGGACTGCCAAATATTTGTGTTCTCAGAGGAGGTTTAATTAGTTGCATTTTTTCCTAAAAAATTATTTGTGCAGCTATATGTTAAGTAGGAAAGTGAGGTGGTTTCTTACACTTCATCCGTTCTCCTTTTTCAAATTGTGACACACACAAACCCACGACATAGGAGGACATGAATCGAGGCAAGCCGAATTGGGAACATTTGGACGAGGATTTACACGTGTTGGTTAGTGTGGAAGATTTTGAGAATCGTGCGGCAATCAAGCTGCGTCGGGCCACGGAAACAATACGTGCATTCCTGGAGCAAGGAGTTCGAACAGTGAGTGAACTTTGTGAGAAATGGTTCTGTGATCACGAATTTCCGACTTTTTGTCTCTAATTTGTGTGTGCCAAGGAGTGCATTGAACAATTTCAAACAGAGTGCAAGTGCTTTTTTCTTGATCTCCCGTGTGACCCAAACCAGTCCGAACCGATTGAGAAAAAACCAAAATTGATTCCACGTTAAGGTCTGAAGTAGTGATACAAAAAAGGAATTAATTTGTCAGTTCTTTCCGTCTCTTTATCAAATCTAAACTTTGAAGCAAAATGATAAGGGGTTTCCTCGCGTGTAAAAAATTATCATCCACTGCCGATGAGTACAGTGCTGACGGCGAACTTCTGTCGGTCACCTGTCCTGTCTTATTCACTTTCAGGTCACATACGTTTGGTGGTGTTTGTTGTTGTTGTTGTGCTGAGTATGCTGGTCTCCGGTACTGTCTGTCTGGATCGAGGCTGTATTCTCATTCCAGTGCTAGCAACTGTTCTGTCAGTGATGCAAAACCCCGGGCGTGAAAAACACGTTGCTGCTTGATCATGTGAAACTATATAGATGGTGTGTGAGTGAGTGGGTGAGTGAGTGAAATTCACGCCCAAGAATTTGCTGTTTCTGGCATGGAATCGTCCAACGACAGGGTAGTCCGGTATACGAATGAAGGGAGTGGGTGG